TGAATCGTCAAAGGTTTTTTAGTTTAATGATGGCCACAGCGGTAGCAGCTACAGCAATGGACGAAAAGCCGTTGTCGCCGCTCAGCGATGTGTAGAATGCAGTGATATTTTCACCAAATAGCAACTTTTTTTCTTTTTCCTTCTTTCTCACCCCTTCTTTTCCTCTATGCGTGGATATGATTAAAATGCCATTAGCAGCAGCTCTGGTGCCATACTGATCCTAAATATGTAGACTAACAAATGACATCCCTCCAACTAGAAGTAATGATACTGGACAAAACCGGAAAAAACAACTCCTTTTCCTCGAAGCAAAATTGCCTCTTTTTTTTCAGTGCTTAAAACTAAGGCATAGACAGCAACGACAACAGCGGTGGCGAGAAAATTGTAAGATCAGTGACATTTGTTTGAAGGGCTGTCAGTATGCAGATCATGCAGTGCAAGTAGATCCTTCCGCTATGGCTCTTAATTTTCGTGATATCGATACATGGCGGTTGACGCTTCAAGAAAATTGCAGTGTCCACAAATCGTACTTGATTGTCATTTAGTTGGCGAACAAATTTGCATTAAAAGGCTACGCTTCTTGACGGCAAGTTAATAGAACTGACGAATACAGGATCAAAATAAAAACAAAAATCGTACTGCCTCATTTCCGCCTTTTCTTTCCTGCTGGTATAAATCCAGATTCTTTCCTTTAGACATGAATTAAACGTTACCCTTGATTACCTGCTTTTATTATATTCTTCCTTCTGCCTTGCCTCCCATAACAATTAATGCCTTACAGAATATCGCCAGTTATTAATACTTCAACCAATTCTCCTTACTCGATTTCCTTTCCTTTAAAGTTTTTAATGAGCATGAAGATCACGTCATCCGAAACAAATGTACTTTTTCCACATATATGATAAAAAGAAAAATGTTTTCTCCAGCAGGCATCCAGCATAAGCGTAGAAAAAAAGGAATGAATGAAAATAAAGAAGAGTGGACAGAAAAAAAGTGAGGAAAAAAATTTGTTTTATTTTCTAATCTTTTTAGTCTAACAAGATCAATTAGCGCAAAAATAATTCTGTACTTGTTTATTCAT